TTTTTTTTTAAATTTAAATAACTTAGAATATGTGTTTCAAGTAAATAAATATAATTATTATTATAAATAACGTTAAACACACGCGATGAAGGTCGTTTCCGCTTTATAATGTATAATTCTATATGGTATCGTTATCGTACCTATATTAACCAAAATAATAAGCGTATTTTACTAAATTTGTATCTATGTTCTTTCAGGTGTATTCGTGTATTCTAATTTTAGGTAAAAAAAATAAATATATAATGTAAAAAATTATAAAATATTGTGCACGGTGGACATATGTGTAATGCGTAGTTAACATAATTTACATTATTTTGTATCTGTTTTATATTGACTAAAAATTCGTTCATTTCGAGAATAGATGAAAAAAGATTTTCAGGTTTGGCTTTGCTGCATGTGCACAAGCATATTATTTTTATTTGTAATGTTTTCGTTATTTTACTATTGTCTATAATAATTAATAATTGCCTTTCTACCTTCCTAGTGTTGTTATTATTAATATTCTTTTAATATGCAACAGTTTATAAATGTAATATATATTACATATAGGTATCTAGAACTTTACATATTCGATTAAGAATATACCGGCTCRAGAATAATTATTACTGATAAATGCATCAGTCTGTTTTAAATATACTTATAGGTACAAGCTATATACCTCAATTAATTTTTCATAAGGGCCACCGATAAACACCAAAAAGCTTATACTTTCACGTGACCAAAAAGCTCAACATATTTTAATGATAATTAAGTAAGAAGATACATGACAAAAACATTGTCAGTTAGTTCTTCGTTGGTCTCATATAAGCGTAATAATATTCATTATTCAATGGGACCTATTATTCTGTTGAAATAAATAAACGTCGTTCGTTTGTATGAAACATAAAAAGCGACGTTTTTAGTGCACCTAGACAAACAGTAATAATTGTATTGTTGAAACAAATAAAATGGCATTAAATGCCTCAAACAAGATTTTTTTAGAATTTTTAAACGTGGCTAATATTATTGGCACATAAAAAAAGTATGTTTGAGATCCATGATATAATAAAAATTGAATTTGTTAAACATGGTTGAAAATGTATAAGTAAAAGAAACAACAACAAAATAAAGCGAATCGAAATACGTATCCTTCTCAAAAAAATTAGGTATAACATAATATTATTATTCATTTAATTAACAATGGAAGGGAGTAGAAGTAAACAAGATCCTTAATCTTAGCATACAATTAAATCATTAATACAATGCATACAATAAAGTGAATAAAGACAATTAATATYAATACAACTAAAACGGTTTTAGTTTATACTCGTATCAGCGTAAGATAATAAACGATTTGTACCWGTCATCTGGAAAATATTTTATTTTTCAGTGACTGCTTGGTACGATATTTGAATAAGTTCATTTGAAACTYAAAGTACCTACATCATACTATAGTAGATATACATCAAACTATAGTCTATACACTACAAGAGAAATACGATGATCGTTTTCTACGAATCTGACAAAATCTAAACGACCGTRAACAAGTCGTATAGAAGTAGGTTTAACCGCTTTAATATTATGATAATCGATCAACTTCAAAAACAGCAACAAGTCATGGTGAATGGTTTGGTCGCAAAGCTGATAGACGAGGTGTACGATCTGAACCATGGTGACAAATCCAAGGTAGGAGCGATTAAAGAGATCCGCAGCACGAAGCAACTTAAGAGAACGTCCTATAGGTATATAAACAGCCACTATATCAGACATCATTTAAAAGCAAACCAATTTCTGAATTTTAGGCTCAGTTAGAGAAAGATGTTTCAATAGTATGTTCAAAGGCTAAATTTCTCTTACTGCGGCCTTTTGATAATTCATATTTTTGTGAAACAGATTTTTCGAGGTGCACAGATACATAACAAAATTATAGAGCCCGTTTGGACCCAGTGACGATATGCCATATGCGTCTTGAATTGACTTCTGTGATAGTGGACATTGACGAACTTGGTCACAAAAATTAGGCACATTGCTCACATTAAGACGTATACGTGAAACGKTCTATTATTTTTCAATAGTCTTCACTAGTTTGGTTTTCATTTTGTACATTAAAATTTTAAATAATATTTTCCCCAGTTCTATTAATAAAGATTTTGTTATTCTTACYTATATA